CATTCACATGAATCTTAGAAAGAACAATTGCTATAGTATTCTCCTTATTAATTTAGCATTTAACCTATTTCCATTTTCTAAACACTCATGAACACAAACAAACAAATGTAAAGTGGCATCTCTGAAGAGTGACTGAGGTAGACTGGCATCTTATTGCACAGAGCACTGTGAGACTTGCAAAAGAATGTCAGTGAGGTATTTATAACCAAAGTTGTCTTCCGGTGCCTTCAGCAGGGTTTGTTTGAATATATGTTTTACTCTGCCTAACTTGTCCCCAGTTTCATTAATTTTCAGCATTTTCAGTATTTGGTATTCTTCCAATTTTTCGCATCCAGTGGAAAAACTGACAATCATATTCTCTGGCTGGCGGAATATCAACATTATCATGGCTGGAGACTAACTGCACGACTCACCCATACCTATAGACTCACACAAAATTATAGAATAATTTAAGTTAGAAGGTACCTCTGGAGGTTTCTGGTCCAGCCTCCCCTCTCAAAGCCAGACCAATTAGATGATGTTGCTCAGAGACTTAAGAAGTTGAGTTTTGAATATATTCAAGAAGGGAGATTTCCTCACCTCATTGGCAACCTGTCCCAATGCTTGCCTGCTGTAATTGTGTAAAAAATAGTTCCTACTATCTAATCAGAATTTTATGTATCCTGATTTGTGTCCATTACCTTTTTTTCTTCCACTGTGTATGTCTGAAAAGAATCTGGCTTCATCTTCTCTACACCACCCCACTAGGTAGCTGTAGACAGCAATGATATTTCCCCTTTCACCTTTAGAAAAGCTTGGTTTTATTCATTACAGCGTACCCAGTATTCTGAAATTGCCACCTTCTCTTCTGCAGATGAAAAAAGCAATTGCTAGAGAGTTTGGTATCCACTCAGTCCTTTGACCAGAACACAAGATCTTGATTCCTTCCACTTTTTTCTACTGTTCCATTACCTGTTTCTTTGTGATAGAGGAGTTTCCTTATAGAGGAATTATTCCTGATTCCATCTGACTTTCTGCTTTTCTGCCTTTATAATAACTGTGGTCTCTGTACAATACATTTTAACCTATCTCATGTTGGTCCTGAGGTGTCACTGATTAATTTACACCTCATCCAGGAACGTACATTTGTTGGTACCTACAAGATCTTTAAAAGATCTAATTTAAACTCCTCAATTTTTTTCTTAACCTGCAGTTTATAAACATAGACTGGTTAGTCTCTTCTATATGATCTTCCCTCAGGATTGTTTCTCACAGTGGTTTGCACTCCTATAAAGTACTGTATGCAGACAAGAGCTTTTAAATAATTGTGCAATAGGACCCCCATCCTGATCAACTCTTAAATCTCAGACCATCTGGTTTTCTCACATGCTAACCATTCAAGTTATATGTGTTTTGCTGGATGTCTGGTAAACAAATTCACCTGATGAAATGCAAGACTTCTTATCCCTATTTGCAACCCATGATTTCCTATTCTGGCTCTTATTTTAACTTCTGACTCCTAATTTGTAAACATCAATAATTCTGGGACAAGTTCTGGAACCTCATTAGTTGAAAACAGGAAAAAGAAAAAAAAAGCTTATCAAACATTGTGGCATTTTTATTCCTGTTCATTTGACCCAATCAATCAGCCTTGATGAATGTGGCATTGCAGTAAACTTCAGATGCCTGTGGCACAGATACACAGATCAACAGTTGTGCTGGTTACCTAAGCTAATGAGAGAAATAGGCACTTCTAGGATGCAATTCATGTTTTCCTAAGCTGTATGTCAGATAAATCACAGGTTACAGGCACCTGTTTCTTTCCACTGCCTAAGAAGGGGATCTGGGAGGTTAGCTCTGTGTAGGCTATATCTAGCACAGGTTTCTAAAATTAGACAAGAGTCTCCTCACTTCTAAGACTTTTCCAGTCGTAGCATTCTTTCAAATTCTTCCTTACTTCAAGGGCCCTTGTGTCCAGCAATGTCAATTTTCTTGGCCAACACCAAGAAATAGTTGATTTCAGCACAAAACATGTAAATTTAAAACAGTGCAACTGCAGCTCACATTAAAATAAAATTATGTGCCCTTTAAGCATGTGAGAAGCTGAGCCATTAAAATATGACTGAGGCCCACAGAAAATATCTCTTAATGAACTCATCTCATAATATTTCTTTTTATGACCATAATATTTTTATATGCAACATGTATCCACAGGTATTTAGACAGTGAGGCAAAGATGGACAAATGAAATAGAAAACTTCAGATAAAATAATAGATTTCCCCAGAGGGAAAAATATTACTTCAGAATTACCAGTGGAGAAACCTTGTTCTCAATATGAGACAAAAACACAGAATTATAGAAAAGTGTGACCCATTTAAAAGGTCACTTAATCCTTCTTTTCCTCAAGGCAGGATAAACTAAAGCTGCATTGCTTTTTTACAGATGTCTCATTAATCTCTTCTTTAAAGCTTCCAAAGACAGGCATTCTAAAATTTCTGTGACAATTTATCCTTCGTGTTTAACTATTTTTAGCAGAAAATTCCTTCCCTGTAAATCTCCTTCGCAGTAATTTTAGCACATTGTCCTACTACAGCAGAAATAGAGAACAGTTTAGTTCTATCCTTTTGGCAGCACATTTTAGGAATTTGAAAATTGTTTAGATATAACTTTCTTCTACTTTCTAGATTAAAATACATCTGTTCTTTAAAAATTTCTTGATAGATCACAGCTGTTGTTTTACCTTTGTCACTTTCACCACTTTTCACTGTGGTTTCTTGAACTGTTACACATTTTAAAAGTGAAATATTCAAAACCAATGAAGAATTTCTGCTGATATCTAAAAATTATGAAATTGAGCAGAAGGATTATTCAGCTTATTTTAACATTCAATCCACTTGTTTTTACAACAAAGCAAGACAATGTTGATTCAAGTTTAGCTGTGATGTCCTATGATTCTCTGATCCTTTTCTGATGAAATTATCAATAACCAATAATTAACAACCAAGTTATTTCATATTTTGCTTTTGTGGAGCTGTGAAGGGCTTGGCTATTGCTGAGGTACAGACACAAGTATAACTGAGATGACAGCAAAAGGCCCTTTGTTTGAGGGAGTAGAATTCATATGAGGAGCAAGAAAATGTTGGACAAAGTAGATGTTTGACTTCATAGTCAAGGTATAGTCATTCAAACAATAAAATCCCAGTGCTACAACATAAAATAGAACAAGCTCCGGCAGGTACTGCAGTAACTGGCTACTTCTCACTAGTTGTGAACTACTTCCCTGACTGGGGTAGAGGTGTGGATGTTTCTTGAAGCCAGAGCAATTGAATTAGAGATACAGGAAAAGATTAACATCCCCGCAAGATTATAACCATGTATCCCCTTGCACTGAGGGTTCCTTTCATGTTTGGTGACTCTTACTGATAAAAAGAGGTACATAAGTGCAGCTGGTGTTGAAAGTTATATGAGCAATGGGACTTGTAACAGCAAGTGCAGTCTGGTTGCATGCTTTCTGAGTAAGTATTTCTTTTGTAGGTATTCTGCAAACAAGGCATTTTGACAGTGGCTGCAAAAAAGCAGGTGGTCATGATCTCTGTGAATATTGATGACACAAGAAAGGCCGGGGAAAGGCTTGGGAGACAGAATTTAAGCTCTTAGATGTTGATCCTGAAGATCAGGACACCTGTTCATTAGCTTTATTTATATTCTGGTTCAGCTCACAGGATAAGACAAAAAGTCCTCAACATGAACTGGGAAAACGAGATAGGAAAGACAAGCCTAGAAGGACTAGGAGTGAGAGAACTTTGAGAATATATGGAATTTACACAACTGACATGAGCAATGGCCATGCTCACCTTGGACATGAGCACATCCATAGCAGAGTGGACAAGGGAACTCAATACTCTGTAGCAGTCAGAAAAATATTTCAAAGCCAGGAATTTGCATAAGACATGCAAAAGAAGAAAAGAAGTGAAAAACCCAAGAAACACCTATATGCCTGTCTGTGAATGCAGATTGTTTATCTATCTCGAACGCTGCATGCAGCTGTGGCCTGTCCACCTTAAAAAAAGAAAAAAAAAAAGATAAAAAAAAGGAAAAAGATAAGGTAAACCAAGGAAAGATATAAAGAAGAACAAGAAGAATAATCTGGATTTCTTACAAACAGAGAGTGAATACATACCAGGGCTCTCCAACTTGGAAAACAAGTAACTGCCTGGAAAGTACGATGTGCATGGATGACTGGGAGTGAATGAATTGAGTACCATTACTTTTTGACTCTTCACAGTAAAAGAAGTAGGAGGTATCAGAGAATATTATCTGACACCAAGTTTAAAATAAAGATTAGGAAGTCTTTTTTTATATACGATTAGCCCCTTTTCTCAGGGATGGAATGTTTCAAATAGGAATTTGAAAAGTTTGTGTGAAAAATTGATAGTTTAACAAGATGCAGAGACAGAATCTGTTTCAAACTGTGTAGCAGATTACCAGAACCTGGGAGAGTATAATACAGTGAGCCTCTCCATATTATTGCCTCATTCTCATAATCCATCTTTTAAACATGTACTCCAGAGTTCTGTTGTAGATGAGACATTGAACTAGATAAGCCCTTATTTGGGCTCGATTTGCATATCCTGCAAGTACTTCCAAAAAGCACATCTAAGGAACACTCTGATCCAGGCTCTAACCCCATTTTCCACCGATTTTTACTCCTCTGTCTCCCACATCTTCCTACTTCCCCATCCCTTTATTCCTGTAAGTTCCCATAAGCCCTAGCACTGATAGACTATTCTGACAAATTGCTGCAGGTCCCCAGACTGTAATCTGCCTATATAGATTGGGAATCACTCTCTTATAACAGTAATAGAGGTCCTAGTAGAGTTTTTCCAATACTATTGTAATGCAAACAATGACATCTTGTCATATTCACTAAATCCAGAAGAGTAGAAGTCCCACAGAGGAATGTGTGTCAATGGTAGTGAATCACTAAGTGAGACATTGGCTGGTTTATGTTTAATAAGGTCTCCTGCTTTATTCTACCCATAGTGAGAAGCAGAAATCATCAACATTTGAAACACAAACTTCTTTTCAGGTCAAGAGCAGGGAAAAGAACTGAACAAAATCAATTTTCCTCTTCTGTCTTCAGCTTTTCCCTAATCCCTGAGGCAGTAATGGCAAAAAAAAGCTCAGGGAAGAAGGTGCGAATGTAAACTGCTGCTCTGGGGATAGGGTTGGCCATAAGTACCTCCTGCTTCTTACTGCTCACTGTGCGCAAGACTTCCTCCGCCACCTCCACTGGGTGCACACCATATGCCACCTTTCTGAAAAAGACTAAATCAGAGAGGAGTGAGAGCTACAGACAGACAGATAGATAGACAGGCACATCTGAGGGAATGGTGCTGAAAAGATACAACAGTCAAATTAGTTAAATTCCTACACACTTTCAATCCCTTACCCCTTCCCCTCATCGGTATGTTCCTAAGATCTTTTTACAATTTTGAAGTAAATTCCTCACAGCCCCTAAGAGAAGGAGCAACCTGAGTGCAGTGGAACTCTCCTTTGGGACCTTTCATGCTCTGTTCTTCCTCCATTCCCTATGCCTTGGGGTATTTATTTTCTCAGATAAAGTTGTCTCTTTCCATGTTCCTTCTCTTTCACCAAGCTCATCTGACCTCTCCAATCTCTCTTTTCTTTTGCTCCCCTAATCTGCTCATCCTTACTGTCATTTCCATTTCCCTATGCTCCTTTCTTCTCCCTGGGAAAAGCCTCCATACTGCTATATGGGCTTCATCTACTGTCTCTCTTGATGCGTCAAACCTTACATTTCCAAATAGATGCCTCCCAGTTGCCAGGTGCTGGTTGGCGATGGTATGAACAGATGAAGGTTGGATTCACAGTGCTGACAGAAATATCAAATTCTTCCATTTCAGCTCTAAGACAGTCAAAAAAACCTACAGCAGCATGCTTAGAAGCAGCATCTAAAAGAAAAAAAACACAAAACACATATGCATGTTTGGATATATGAATGCATGGATATAGATGTATGATAATGCTCCATGAAATATAAATGTTTGGAAAACTGAGCATGGAATGATTAGCCAAAAGGCAAAAGAACAGTGAATTATTTCACTCAGTGAAATTATCATATGACATATTTAAAACAAACAAAAGAAAATCATTTGAACAGGACAAGTATGCATGAGATATGCAGTGAGTCTCCCTATAAATGTCCAAAAGCATGTGTCTGGATTTCCGAGTTAGAACTAGTAGGTCCTGGGTTAAGGAATAATACTTCTATTATCTCTACAGTTTAAAAACACTTTTGGTGGATGGGCAGCTGTCCCTGAGATGACTCTCCACACCATCTGTGGATGCAGTTTGTGACACATCAATAAAATGCAGTGAAATACGTGTCCATTTCTGGAATTCAGGAGTACTAGTGTTTTGCAAACTAATTAGGCCTTTGCCCTGCAGCAACAATCCAAGATGCTTTGAATATTAAAATTAATATAACTGAATGTTAAGAATTTTTTTAACTGCTCTTAGTGCCTTGAGAATGGTATTAAAGAAAGATGATAGTATGTGAAGCTTGACCAAAAACCAGAACTATGTGTTAAGCACAGTAGAGCTGCAAAGCACTCATCCACCTTGTATTTGACTTGATTTGCAGTGAAAATCAGCGTGTGTATAATATAATCTAAAATATGGCAAGTGGGCTCTGGGAATGGGAAGAAGTTTCTCCCTTCATTTGTTTTGAAATTCTTTCTTCTGGCAGCTTCATTTCATGCAACATAGATATTGGTAGAGGCATTGTAAAAACCATTTCTGTTCACTGTTCTGCTACTCATGATTTTATACACAATACAATGTATCTTGACAGAATTAGCTGTTTCCCAGATGGAAACCATTCCAGATGTCTCATCAATGTGTTGCTTCTTTTCTGAGCCTTTTTTGTAGTTCTTGTACTTCTTTTTGAGATGGGGGACCAGAACTGCACACTATGTTCAAGATATGGGCACTGCATAAATTTATACAAAGGCATGAAAACAGGATTTAATTTTTTTTTCTCTACTGCTTTACTGACAGTTTCTGTCACTGTATTTTGTTTTCATGGAACTGTAAGTCACAGTCCTGAGGTCTCACAGACCTTTTAATTCAGAGCCCATCATCTACTCTGACCTCCTGCCACAGTTAAAAATATCTATTTACATCTATCCTGTATTTTTTTGTCTACTAACTTTGCATTTTAATAATGCAAAGACCTTTCATCATAATTCTGGACAGTTTAGTTTCATTAGGAGCTTTGGATGAAGGAACTTCTTGAAAATTTTCTGGAAAGCCAAGCAGAATACAATTACTACATCTCCTTTTAAACTCGTGCACATAAATCCATTAAGAGCATGAGTGTCCCTCTACAGAGCGGTAGCTAATATCTACCAGTATGTTATAATTATACACTACTTCATTCCCCATTGTGATTTCTACTAATATGCCAGTACAGATGTTAGTCCTACAAGTTTCCTGAACATGTCCTAAGATCATTAAAAAAACCTTACTATCACATTTGATATCCTCTTGTCCTCACATACCTTAAGCAGTAGTTCTACTTTAAAGATAGTATTTTAACTATTTATTCTTGAGTTCCATTTCTTTCAAAAATTTTCAGCCAAAGTGTGTATTAATAGTTTACTGAATTAAATTTCAAATTAGCACTTTTAATAACCTATTATCAGTGCCATGGAATACTCACAATTTATGCATTAGAATCTACATTTTTGCTATGTATGACTTACAAGCTGCACGAAATGGAATTCCTATTTTTCCTTGGATACTGTTAATTAGAACAATTTGGCCAGTTCTTCTTGAGATCATGTTGGGAAGAATGGCTGAAAAATAAAACAAAAAGAAAAAAAAAAGAAAGAGACACATAAGTAAAAGAGCTCAGTGTATTTAGTGAAAAGAAGTGACAGATGAAGTGTAGATAGCACAAGATTGATGAAGCTCATCTCAAGACTGCAACCAAAAGTATCATAAAATCCAGTAGGTGGAAATTGAGTGTCTTCTGGACTTTACTTGGATTCTACATGCAGATTAGGGTGCAGTATTATCACATTTAATTGTCAGTCTGTCTGTATCCATGCAACAGTTGGAAAAAATTGTCTTTGTAACAGAGGCAGAGAGCACATAAATAACAGAGTCACCATATGCAAAATACAAGCAGCAGATATTTTAAAAAATGTATTTCCAAACCCAGACACTCTGGTTTTGATCCTCTTCACCTCAATTTCAATCCATTGATTTTCACAGAATTGTTTTGGTTATAGTGAGGAAGGCAAAAATAAGTGCAAATGAAACAGTGTAATGTCAATGGCTTGGATCTCAAGCTTTAAGTGGCAACAGCAAAACAGGAAAAAAAATTAAAATACCTTTGGTTAATGTTATAGGTCCAAAATAGTTGGCATCCATTATCTTTTTATCAAGTTCCAATGAAATGCTCTGCACTGCTCCTTTCACCTTCATACTTGCATTGTTGATCAGTATATCCACACAGCCATAGCAATTCAGGATTTCCTTAACTACATCTTGAATGCAGTTTATGTCTGAGATATCCAGAAGTATGAGCTTTGGTGCATATGTCTAATAAAGAAAAGACTAATTTCAAGGATACCTGTTGTATAAAAATTTATTTCTATTTAATTGTCTTGTAAATTAATTTACCTTGATGCTGAAGAAAATGCTTTTATCTTTCTCATAAAAAAATATATTTCTTCTTTTAACCCATGCTAGAAAGAAGGTAGTTCAGTTCATAGCTTCTATAAAGAAGGTATTCATAGACTCTGAAATTCAGATGTAGCAGAACACCATGGGAAGGGTAAACTGGACTAGCTCTACCCTATTGAGTTTTGTCTCTCTTGTAATCAGTGGAAATAGATAATAGACAAAAGCGGTGGTTCCTACCACACCAAGCTACTGTCTTTCTGTAAGCAGCAACTTTGCTGACCACAGAGTCTAGGATATAGTGCTTTGATAGATAATTTACATATACGTGGGGGGCCGTTGGAAGGTAAGAATGGGTTTTCATCTATAGGGTATCCAAAACGAGTTTGCATTGGATTAATTTCTGCAAAGATGTAGATTTTATCAGCTGTGGGACAGAGGAATGAACTCTGAGCACCTTCTCTTACTGTAGTACTATGGTGACATAATGCAGATCCCTTAGTCATCCTTAATATTTTTTTCCTTGTTGAGTCTGCACAGATTAACATGAACACACTACTTTTATGGTTATTTATACAAATAAATGAAGCTCACTGCAAAAAAAGGTCCAAAGGCAAATATTTGTTGGTCTAGTGAGCAATTGCTGTAAAAATAGTCATTCTTAACCGGCTGTTCAGAAGGGACAGGTGAGGAAGAAAGGGCGGAGGCATTGCCCTCTCTGTCAAGAAATGGATAGAGCGTGAAGTGCTGTCTCTGAAGAATAGCTACAAGCAGGTTGAAAGTCTATGGGTAAGAATCGGGGACCAAGGCAACAAAGGGAACCTTGCAGTTGATGTCTGCTGCACGCCATCCAGTCAAGGGGAGACTATTGATGAAGCCTTCTTATTCCAGCTACCAGAGGCATCATGCTCATGGGCTCTCATTCTTCTGGGGGACTTTAACCACCCTGACATCTGCTGGAAAAGTAACATGGTGAGCTGTAGGCAATCCAGAAGACTCCTGGAACACATTGAGAATAAATTCCTATGCCAGGTAATAGACGGCCCTACTAGAGGGGATGCCATACTTGGGCTTGTTGGTCATCACTGCAAGTGAGGTAATTGCTGACATCAAGATTGGAGGCAGCCTGGGCTGCAGTGATCATGCACTGATGGAGTTTGCAGTCCTGAGGGATATGGGGCAGGCAAAGAGTAGTCAGGACCCTGAATTTTAAGAAAAAAACCTCACAGCTCTTCAGGGAGTTGGTCAATAGGACCTCCTAGGAAACTGCCCTCAGGGACAAGGGAGCAGAACACAACTGGCAGAAGATTAAGGTCCCTTTCCATAAAGCACAATAACTCTCTATCCCCAGGTGTAAGAAAGCAGGAAAGGAAGGCAAGAGACCAGCATGTCTGTGTGGAGACCTGCTGGGCAAACTAAAGGGCAAGAAGGAAACGCACAGGCAGCGGAAGCAGGGACAGGGATCCTGGGAAGAGCACAGGGACACTGCCCAATTGTGTAGGGATGGGGTCAGGAAGGCCAAGGCGCAGCTGGAGCTGAACATCTTTGCCTCAGTCTTCACTGACAGTCTCTCTTCCCACACCTCTCAAGTGGATGGACTGCAAGACGGGGACTGGAGGAGCAAAGTCCCTCCCGCTTTAAGAGAAGATCAGGTTTAAGACCACCTGAGGAACCTGAACATGCACAAGTCTATGGGACCTGATGAGATGCATCCCAGAGTCCTGAGGGAATTTACTGACGTAGTTGCCAAGCCACTCTTCATCATATTTGAAAAGACCTGGCAGTCAGAGGGGAAAAAGGGAAAAATTGTACCCATTTTAAAAAAGTGTTGAAAGAAGGGCCGTGGGAAGTACCGACCTTTCAGCCTCACCTCTGTGCCTGGAAAGATCATGGAACAGATCCTCCTAGAAGCTGCGCTTTTTTTTGACGGCGAGGTGATTCTAGACAGTCAGCATGACTTCACCAAGGGCAAGTCCTGCCTGACCAACCTAGCGGCCTTCTATGGTGGAGTCACCACATCAACGGACAAGGGAAGAGCTACTGATGTCTATCT